TATCAGTATTTGGCGATGTTCTAAATCCATATACCTGCTGTTTCCCAAACTTGACATTTTTTTCAAAGGATCAAGTTAATTTGTTATTTCAAATATTTGTTTACGTAGCATAAAAGTCAACAACAACTGACGATAACAAAGAAAGGAAATTTTCCTTTTAGAAATATATATAAAAGACAAATCAGATTTACTTTTTTTATTTAAATGTGTTTTATTGTATACGACAGATCTGTGAGACAACAATTAATCACTGAACCCTTCAACAGGCCTATCATGTAAAGCATAAGGATTATAATAGAAAGACATTTTAAAAATTGATATAACAAAAATATTTGAAATTCTTTGTGGCATTTGTTCACAAAGTTTTGAGTTTCCACAAGATAAAAAAAATACATAGGTATCTGTATAGCTGTACACTTATACCCTTGATTTTACTCCAAAAACTGAAAGGGTACGCAGTTTAAGCAACATTTTCTCAAACGTATATGTGGTTATAAATAATCTTTATTTATTTTCCAACAATTGCGAAGCAAGTTTTTCCAACATATCAATCACTCTTGTTGGCCCGGAGGGAAGCATGCGAGGGTCTTAGTGTGGGAGGAAACTGGAAAACCCACGTGGTCGGGCAGGTGACCCCATGCCTTTTGACATCCATTCCGGGAATCGAACCGCGGACGGTGAAAAGCGAGTGCGTTACTACCCAAACAATGAGGTTTCCCAATCTTTCTAAAGTAGACCAATCTTTCAAATGAAATAACTGTATTGGTTATTATGAACATTGATAAGTTGCTACATAAACCACCACAAAAGCAAAACACAGTTTATTCGTTGGAAGGATCAGCCATACAAATAAATCAAAAATATAAATTAAAAGTATAAATTACACCGAAAGCAGATCTTCACCGGAAGTTATTATCTACCTTAATGTCATAAATTTGTGATTTAAAATCAGACCAGCCAATCGTTTTATATCTGCTTATACCAATTACAACCTTATACATTCAAAGATAATACTAACATGTTACTTAAATGAAGTCATTCAATTACACAGGGAAGTTATAAAATTAGACTCAACAAAAAGCGATAAGTTCCGTCTTTTCTTTTTAATCTTTGTGATTTCTCCATACGTACACGACACAAACCTTAATCAACTCATTGTTAGTGTTACCATACTTTTTGAAGCAATGGGAACTTAATTGTTAATATCTAATAAATGAATGACCAAACATCCATACACTCAAAAATGTGACCCAATTGTTAGTAGTTATCACAACACTAAAGGCAAATGGGGATTAACATCACTGCCATCGTCACTGAAATGGAATATCATAGAAATGAAATTATTAAATGTGTAAAAGTTTGCTATTGGTCATTTTTATCATCGATATTTCACTTTTAAAAAAATCCTTTACATTTAGGCCAGGGGAGGGGAGGCTTTTTGTGAATTACAGGAATTATTAAGTCTTATCAGATGAAAACATAAAATTATGAAAACCGTGCCAATGTCATTTGACGAGTCAGCATCAATGCTAGAATACACTACTCTAGACAAAGACCAAACGAACCTGTATCCTTCACCTGCTTTTCGGTTTCTAAAGAGAAAACAAAATCGAAAGCGTTTCAAAGTTATCACCCCTTCTTTATGTAGTAGTATTGCCTTTTTGTTGTATACACACCAACAAACACAGTTCAAAAGGGTTCTCCGATTTATTATAAATTTTACTTTTACCCTATTTGTGGAACAGGGCAGTGGGGTCACATTGACAGCTGACGATGTATATTAACTTTTTTATAATTTTTCAAAATTTCATCTTGTCAGTCAAGTGTCTAAAGTCGGAGTGCCAAATAACGCGCCAAAATGACCAAAACCACAATACAAACAACACTGACCATTGGCTAAAGAAAGAGGTACCAGCAGGATTGCTATAAACCAACCAACCGAATAAATAGAAATACTCTAAACATATATCAAGGCCAAACTAAAGGGAAATACGTATTTCAATTAATAGACGGACGCTATAATGTATACATGAACTGAAATAATAAAAAATAACGAAATATCGTCTCTGCCACCTTCCTGGCTGGAGTTGTAAAATTTCTTCAGTAAGATATCCTTTCGCATCCAGCTTCTGAAATATGTCATCTACTGAAGCATCAGCACCAACCTTCGTCATTATCCTCAAAGCTGAACCCTTCAAAGAAGTCCTGACAGCTTGACGTATGGTAGATTGGTTGTGGCCTTCAGTCTTCAGACACAAAACTTCTTGCTTCCAAATATCGTAGGATACTCCTTTTCCGTCCCCTGAAAATTGTGATACCTTTGGGAAGTGCTGAAGCATAGACACCGCTACGTCTTTCCCCTTTTTATCTTGTTCCTTCTCCTTGGTATCGGGCTTAATTTCAACTTCATAATTACAAACCGTTCCTGCCATCCATTGAAGAAAATCTTGCTCAGAGTCTAACTTCGGCTTCACTTTCATTTTCTTCATCAAGTCAACCATCCTGGTGATTTCATCGTGAGACAGTTCATCGGACATGTTGGATTGTGATTAGGTATATGAACAAATATAATATGTAACTAAGTACGAAGTAACACAGACTAATCAATGCCAATAAATACACAAAAAAGAAAACAAAAATAAACAAAGAAATCTGCATTGAAATCTGAAAGGAAAATCAATATTAAATGCACACGCGAAAAGTAATAATTAAAGACCTTCAAATTAATAAATGACTAATACAAAATATTAATGAAACTTACACTATATATAGCACGTCGACACACTGGACTGAAATCAAAGAGTGGTTAAAATGAAAAGTAATAAAAATAACCAAAACTAATATAAGTATATATAAACTAAGAACCTGAAGCTGCAAAATACTAGCCTAGTGAGACTACAAAGAAACCAAAACCTCCACACTGAACCAGGTAACCTACATTGCCAAAAGTATCAAATAAAAGCAATAATTTCTAAGAACGACAACACAAACGATATCACAAAAATTACCGAATGTCAAAAAATTCAAGTCAATGTCAATGTCAAGTCAGTATATACTGGATTAATGCTTCAAATAAGGATATTAGTAATAGTTATACGCATGCGCTGGGGATTATGCTTCCGTTGGTGGGGAGGGGGTGGGGATATAAGGTACAAATCAATCTAAACGTTCAAAAACAAAACACTATAAAGCTATGCCTTCAAAAATACTATGCTCCCTAGATACTACAGTTACACATGTTCACAATGTCACAACCCAACCCAACAACATAAATATATATATAAAAAACAGCAGTATACACCAATACGGTGTCCATATATGAATAAATCAGCACATGAAATCTATATAAAAGTTTACGCAAGGAAAAATAATAATGTAACATAATTTCAAAGGAAAAAATCACAATAAGTTCAAGATTATTAAATAAGAGTCAATGTTTTGGGGGTTTTATTTCACTCGGACGATAAAATTTTCACGGCTTCTTCGCGGAACAGGAAAAGTCTATAGATTATAGGAAAGTCAATGGATATAACTTACTTATATCCGTAGCAGGTCACACGGGTAACATATAGCTGGTCAACGTGACGTCATACAGGTGCGAACACAGGTAGAAATACCAAAAGACGATATATCTCAAAATTCCAACTCTGCACTTATTTTTGACAGCTCGACGCTGACAAATGAAACACATAATCGGACCTCTGGAGCCTCCATTGTAGTAGTGTTGCCTTTTTGTTGTATACACACCAACAAACACAGTTCAAAAGGGTTCTCCGATTTATTATAAATTTTACTTTTACCTTATTTGTGGAACAGGGCAGTGGGATTACATTGACAGCTGACGATGTATATTAACTTTTTTATAATCTTTCAAAATTTCATCTTGTCAGTCAAGTGTCTAAAGTCGGAGTGCCAAATAAAGCGCCAAAATGACCAAAATCACAATACAAACAAACAAAACACAGACCATTGGCTAAAGAAAGAGGTACCAGCAGGATTGCTATAAACCAACCAATCGAATAAATAGAAATACTCTAAACATATATCAAGGCCAAACTAAAGGGAAATACGTATTTCAATTAATAGACGGACGCTATAATGTATACATGAACTGAAATAACATAAAATAACGAAATATCGTCTCTGCCACATTTACAGTATGTTGTCGATGGAACATAAAGCTCGCATCTTCTTGGTTATTCTCAAGTCCTCCTTAAGATTCTAACGCACTTTGCTCGCATTTTTTCACCTGTAACTTTGAAAATAGGTCAATGTCATTTATCAGAACAATGTTCATATCCTTTCATCCAGGGATGTGTCTGCCCAGAAATCATGATCCAAGGAATTTTTGAAAAGAAGGTTTAAATATTTTGACATGGTTTTATCCTTGTGACCATGTAATTGAACCAAACTGATTAACATAGAAATCTTGATAGTCCCTCCTCCAGGTATGCTATTGGCCATTAGACGTTGACCTTGTGGTTGCTGAAACCCGTTGAAACTCGAAAATGGGCCAAGGATACATATTTAAAGCTACTAACGGTGAAATACTATGACTCTGTGCCTTTTAGCTATTTCGATAAGAAATTATTTAAATGGAAAAGTTGACCCCGATCTAGTAATGATGAATTTTCATACTACAAAATATATTGAAATCAAACAGAGATGACTAATAGATATTTAACATAGTTTTGTTTCTAACAGCATCGAAATGGCAAACTGTTTAAATGTCCATGTCCCAGAATTCTTTGCGATATATTACACTGTGTGCCTAGCAGAATAGCTTTTCCACTTAGAGCAAGAAATAAAGACATATCAAACACAAAAAAAGACATGCGACTACACAACCCAAAACGGTAACCATGTCGGGGTTTGATGAGGTGGCTTGAAGCAGCGGCCTCGTTGTAGAGTCCACACTAGGTGGTGGAACATCCGGGACTCTGTGACGACGACTAACAATCGTGGAAAATATCTGCTCTTTCAGATGAGAGAATTTGACGTCATGGTAGCTTTCCTCCGAATTTGCGACGACATAATTCTGCCCGCACACCTATAAAAGAGACGAACAAACGTTTACATTGTACCTCGAATGGAGACAAACAAACCGACATCGAATGTTTTTAAAAATTCGAAAAGTTGATATCAGTACTTGCCACATTCATAAATTTCAGGATAGGAATGTCAATTTGTGGTAAAATTTGGCGCGTTCGGGTCATGGCTGGGTCAACGTCATCGCAATAGTTAGCACACTCCAGAAATCTGTGTGAAGCGCCTCCTAGCGCCAGCAATTCTTGAAACCGTCTTTTTCTTTCTTTATATTCCTCTGTCTGTGATTCTACTACTAGATCATACTCTGTCAGCACCCCAAAGACAGGAATTTCTAATAAAAAAGACGTATATATAAACATAATTGAACATTCAGATAAGTAAGTGAGTGATCTTTTTATAACCTATTTATAATATCATATGGTGTTGACATTTCCTGGTTGCCATCTGTTCACAACGAATTATTGTGTTAACGCACTTTTAGAATTCTGAGGTATATATATGGTATTGTTATATTACCGTATAACCATTTTTTAATTATGCACACTTTGTTTTGAATAAGTAGTTTTCAAACAAAGAAGTTTTCATTCAGATTCAGCAGTTGTTGTGAAGATGAAGTAACAGAACAAGACAAAATCACAATGTCAGAAAATCCATAGAAACCAGATACACCTGCACCTCGTTATATCGTTCTTATATACCTCGAAAACCCCGTTTAATTCGAAGCAACTTTACACGAAAACATCTCACTTAAATCGAATACCCTGTTACCTCGAAATTTCCCACGGTCCCACCGAGTTCGAGATAACGAGGTCTGACTGTACATGTATTAACGTACTGTTTGTTAACCTTTTAGAAACGACTGTACAAGATTTTGTCTAATCAGAAATATTCTGACGTTTAATCGAATTCTACAAATATACTGAGAGTAAAAAGAAACGCAATTAGCAGAAAGTTAATATTGTAAATTAAATCCTTGACGTACACCCTTGAAACTTGACAAATGTGTGCATTTGAGTTAGGTCCCTATGGTACTGTATTAAAATCACTGATACATAACTAAACTGCGCATGCCGCTTGTACAAAAGAATAAGAGACAAAAGCACGATATCTCGAACCCAGTATAAAGGATTGGTTCAAAATCTGTGTGTGCAATTCTTCAGACATATTCGTCTTGATTTCCCACATTGTAAGCATAAACAGTTCACCGTAAAAATGCTACGGCTTTCCGAAGTTAACAGTGGTCTTTCCATTGCACTTCTTATGAAAGGTACCCAGCAAAATCAGGTCGCTAATCAATTTGGAGTCAATCCATCGAACATTTGCCGTCTCATCCAAAGACTACATTCCACCGAAAGGGTTGCAGACTGTTCCCGAGGCGGTCGCCCTCATGTGACGACGCGTCGCAGGATAGGGCAATGCGACTTTCGCACCTACGCAATCGCTTTTGACGACCACGGAAACAGCAAGGAACACAATTGGGCGTCATCATGTTCCAATTGATCCAAAACAGTGCGCACTCGACTGCGTGCCTTCGGTCTAAAACCGCGGAGGCCATATGTTATTGAACCACAGCTTAATGCGCGGCGACGTGCCAGACTAATGCAATGGCTGAACGCACATTCCGTAAGACGCTTCCCAATACAACGTTGGAGAAGAGTCCTGTTCTCAGATGAATCCAGGTTTTCGCTTTACCGGGCAGACGGCCGACGTCGTGTCTATAGACGTACCCACGAGCGCTATGCAGATGCTTGCGTGAGAGAGAATAACCGCTTTGGAGGAGGATCGGTCATGGTATGGGGAGGGATTGCGCATGGTATCAAGAATCCTCTGGTCGTTATTCAGGGAAATCTCACGGCCGTCCACTATAGAGATCAAGTCCTAGCGCCGAATGTTGTTCCTCTAGTACAGCAGCGTCAACTGACGTTTCAGCAGAACAACGCCTGGCCGCATGTAGCGAGGGTTTGCCGTGGTTATCTCGCAGCAAACAATGTCCCCATCCTAGACTGGCCCCCATACAGCCCTGACCTCTCCCCAATAGAACATTTATGGGACGAGTTGGACAGAAGGATAAGACGTAGGCCGAATCCTCCAATCAACGTCGCTCAGTTGGCGTTGGCGCTGAATGAGGAATGGAATCGTATACCAATGAGGAGGGTAAATACCCCGATCAATTCAATGTACAAAAGAGTTCGTGCAGTTACTGCAGCTCGTGGGGGGTGGGGGGGGGAGCACACACGATATTGATGGGTCCAGAACGCACTTCATTTTGAGTGGGGTACTCTTGAATCAACGTCAAATTTGAAAGGTTTACTTAACGTACACGAATGAAATTCTCGTAGATGAGTGGTCAACTATCTTCCAGTTACACCATAATCACATTCTAAAATCCTTTTCTTTTTCCCGTAGTTGACCTGGAAATTCCTAATTGGGTTTCTTTTTCCTCTCGGTATATGTCACTAGGCGATGAACGTTTCAGAAATCAGTCCCTATATAAACCGGTATGTGGCCACGGCTTTGTAGCTGAATGTGGTTGTGGGCTTGTTCCTGCTATGGTTTTTGACAGCTCTAACGAATGCCTTTAAGTGACCCCCATCAATCATGAAAGCCGTCTTCATACCGTCTTGTAAAAAAGGCCAACACATGGTAAAGGGTTATACCTAAACTCTCGTTGTTAATTTCATTCATCAGTTACCCACCTTAGTGCTGATATTGTTCAAAGGACTGTGATAAAAAAAAACCCGCTCAACAAAATAGCACATTCTAGGTTTATCAATTTCAAGTTATGTTTGGTAACGATGTTTTTCGAAGTGTTGAGATTGTCTCCAAATAACCTGTTGTACTTGTGAGTGACTTGTGTTGGAACCTTTTTATTACTGATTGGAAAAGAATCGACTGAATGACTCACAAAAATTGCTCTTTTGTCAAACTGAAAACTGGCGAAAATCACAAGGACGGGATTGGAATTTAACTTGAAAGAAATCAAAAAAAGAGGTTGGAAAGTTATGTGAAATTTAAAGCATTATAATACCTGTATTTCCATAAATGGTTACGCCAAGATTATAGTATAACAAGTTACTGTAAAATAGAGGGATTTATATTGTATTTTAATGCATATTTCAATGACAGATTCCGTGCGGCAAAGTGCCAATATCTCACCTCTATTTTGAAAATCGGTTGTAGGTCGGGCAGCCTTCATAACACACTTTATGAGTTTAGCAGGTACCTCACCTCTTGTCGCCGAGGCTATGAACACAACACGATCAACCTTGAAATGACATTCAGTGGAAAACACACCATACCGCCAACGCAAAGCTTCTACACCAAAACGCCTTCCAAATCTAAAAACTTTGTGAATGTTGGTTGAATTCTTTAGTTTTCCGTAGAATATTAGTCTAAGCAAGTCCGATGTGATTTCTTCGTCTTCATCTTGGAATCCAGTTAGGTCTATCAGAGTAGGCAAAGACCAGTCCTTTAGATTAGACGAGGTTACATAATTCTCTGATGCAATGCTGTAAAGTAAAGATAAAATCCGATTTCACACCCATAATCTTGTGTTTATTGATATACAGAGTATCACCAGTGCCGTACAAGGACGTTAGCTACAGGGCAAAATAACAGTTTAATTAGGAATCATTGTCTACAAATATCTGCCCTATTTCGGCAGGGCTGAGAACCTGTTGGTTTAAGAGATGCATCCGCCCAGACTAAAAACACTAGGAGTTCTGTCTAAAGAGTGTGACATACCAAAGTCACTCTGTATGATACAAGAAGGGCTGGTTCACCCGTTGTTAGTATCACGTGACCAGGTAGGTTGTAATTCAACCGTGTCCTGCACCCGTCACAATGACAATGTACGCATTGTGTACTCGGACAAAGATAATTTTGGTGATAAATTTGGCACCTGAATCCTTCATTTTAATTATTCGAAGAAAGGTTGAAAAGTCGTCAGGTAAAGTATTATTTCTATGGTAAGGTTTATCTTTTCAACAGTTGATTTCAAGATATTTACAAGCAAGTTTAAAGAAAGTTGAGCTGAACCGAAAATTCTTGTCAGGGCATGGGAATGGATTATGAATACGGGTCAAGGTCATGGCATTGCTATGTTTGATAAAATCGTGTCCAAGTATTCACGAACACCGTCCTCATATGACCTTACTATGAACTGGTTTGAAACAATTAAAAAAATCGGTATACAATATGAATTCAATATTGTTTTTAAAAAACGCACATAAATAGGCTGTGTGGAGAATTTTAAGGTAAAACTGCTATTTCACCTCTTTAATTCAATGTGTAAGCAATTACAGAATTACCATTGCATTCGAACTGTGGTCTGGTTATCACCCAACAAACGTCCTCCCCCTCCACTGAAGGCGAATTCCTGCCAACACTTATCTGCGATGGCGGCAGCGAAGGAGTTGATGAAAGAGGATTTTCCACATCCGGGTGTCCCAATAAATACAATATTAAGTGGACGTCTATTGCATCTTCCAACCTTGAATTTCAGGTCATCTATCAGTTGCGTCCTTTCTTGTAGATTGGCGTCCTCCATCTTTCGCACTTCAACGTTTCTATTGATTTAAAGAAATATTGTCTATGTAACATCCCTATCTTCCTGCATCAATTTATATATTTCCTTACTCAAAGTTTATCCAGGATGTAAATGAATCAAATTTTAGAACTTTCAATATTTCCTTGAAGAAAACATCTTTTCAGATTTCCTGTATTTTCATATATAACATACTGGAAAAATATGATAATCGTCATACATTGAATATCATTTTCATACATATTTTCATATGCTTATTCACTGATCATATCTACCGTCTATATATGATAAAGTTTGATATCGAAGGGCCTGCAAAATTGAAACCAGTTTAAAATTTGATGGGCTAATATGTGTTTTGAATTTTGAAAAGGATATTCGTTTATCTCGACCTCTATTTACAACGTTACCTATAAGGTTGGTTTTCCATTAAGTTGTATTATAGATATTATTTCAATTTACTTACAGTGAATTTTCTATTTCTGGATATCAGTAATCCTACATCTCCTAGATATGCCGTTGCTGTGATACTCAAGAATTTGTTTATCATCAAGCCATAGTATGACAGCTGACGGATGAATTCACAACCCAAAGGAATTGAAATATGTTTGTTTGAACTCTTGATCCTGCTCGGATTTCCTTATATGGTATGAAATTAGATGCTTGTCGAATAATGATTGGCTTCATTGATGATTTTAGAAAGAGACATCACGGATTTGGATTTCAACCATCTGGGATACTTGGTCTTTATAAAAATATTTTATCATTTTTTTAACATTTTGTCGTCCTTATATCATTTGTGTAACAGGTACGCAGGGAGTGCAGTTACGTTGATACAAGCTTAGTCATACAAAGAGTGACCTGTACATGTATATATGACAATATACAATAATGATTGACTCTTGTAATACAGATAATATACAAATGTTCGAAGGAGTTAATAGAGATATCCACTTTGTATAACGATATCCTAATATTAGTAACTATCCGTACCTATATCAATGTTATTTACTGTCATTACATATACAACACGGTGCAGTCGTTACTATTAATAACTTGCTAGCTACGTAAACATCTGCACCGGTCACAGTTATTTTTACTAAGGATCGACAACATATGCATGAATATACAATACTACTTATATTTGATATCTAAATTTTCAGCCTTACCACAGAGGTGCAAATGAGCATATCTGGTGTGTAGGTCCACTAATCATTTTGTAAAATTTACCTTCGTAGATCGATTCATTCCCACTCAGCCAACATCTTAAAAACATTACCTGCAGTTACCTGTATTTACCTGGACAAAGTTGGCTATAGTCTATTTCAGTATTTATGAGCGAATCAAATTACGTGTTCAACTCAGAATGAAATTTTTAAAAAATGTGTATGCAAAAAAATTTGAAAAGTAGTATAGATGAGGAAGAAGAAATTACTTCTTTTAAAATACATTTACATATTTGTCACTATAGAGACAAAGTTCAAAATCTTCATGAAAGTTAATTATATCATTTTATATAGGCATATTAATGAGTTGTTTCAACCAAATTAAATTACTTGACTTTTATAAACAACTAGATATAGTTTACTAATGCAATCATAACAGTTTATCAAAACATTGATTCCGGTTTTTAAAACATTTTTGGTCACTATAAAAACAATTAATTATTATTTACTCTAACTGTGATATGTAGAGAACAGTGTGTTTCCGTTAGTGTTTGCTTTTCTACCCAACAAACGTGAACAGACATATGTGAGATTTTTCACCCTCCTTTGGGATGCCATGACACATAGAAACTTAGCCTTTGGTCCAGAGTGCATAATGTTGGATTTCGAAATTGCAGCGAAGAACGCAATGAGGACAGTATTTCCAGAATTGACAATCAGAGGATGTTTCTTCCATTACACGCAATGCATTTGGAGGAAGGCGGTGACCGACAGCACTGGAACCATTTCGACCATGATGGACCCCGCACGACAAATAATGTTGAAGGCTGGCACAGCAAGCTGAACCGGGTATGCAAGAGGCCACATCCCTAAATCTTTGCAATGGTGAAACTCCGCCAAGGAATCCAGTCCACCAATGATGCCAAGATGCTGCAGTATCAGGCAGGAGGAAGACCATGTGCCAAGAAGCGCAAATACGGACAGATTGACAAAAGACTACAGACTTTCAAGGACAAGCTCCGAAACAACACAATGGATGTGATGTCGTATGCGGATGCTGCTTCACACCTGCTTCATCTAGAGTAGACTCAAATAACCTTGCTATGTTTGGATTTATGTGACTTGAACATATGTGTTTTGCTAAATTTTCCTTAAAAACAAACAGTTGAATGAGGATAAATATAGTGCTGTATATTATTTTGTGCTGCTAATACGGATACACATGATTACGACACAGTGATGTATATAATCAATTATGTTTGATGGACAGTGACTGTTTGCACTGTTTACTATAATGTCTGAACATATGAAATGGGATACAATATCTGACTGGGATATAATATCTGACTGGGATATAATATCTGACTGGGATATGATATCTGACTGGGATATAATATCTGACTGGGATATGATATCTGACTGGGATATAATATCTGACTGGGATATGATATCTGACTGGGATATAATATCTGACAGGGATGTAATATCTGCGTATTCAATAGCGCTGTGAAATACTCAAGTGTTACAACATGACTAGTTGAACTGTGTGTACCATTTCTGAAAACGATGTATATTTCATAGTGTTGTGAAATATTGTAAAAGTATAATAACACAAACTGTAGAACTTTGAGGTATCTATATCTGAAATATGAAATATGTCTAGGTGATTTGTGTCATATGGGGCTTATATTTTGTGTATCACAATGAAGATATTGACTCTTATAAATTAGTTTTTTTCTCAACAATTACTTTCCAAAGGCATTTTTCATATTTTCAAATGTATTTGTAAAATTAATAAATTATAATTATCTGTCAATATTTTCATTGAGATTCACAAAAATATATATCTTGCGTGACCCACAAATATTCACACTAATAAGAAATAGCTCTAATATATAATACTAGAACAATGCTACAGGTAAGTTTTTACCTGCGAAATGCCTATTTTCCCAAAACAGACTATAGCCTTACCTGTAATCAGTACCTATTGGTCTCCACCTGTGCCCGATAATGAAATAGGTTGTTTCCTGATTGGAAAGACACCCGTAGATCGGTCATAGATAGGACTTTAGACTGCACATAGTTATCAACCTTATCTGGTTCCAGGAACAAGATTCACAGTTTTGTTTTTACATTACGAGATAAAGGAAATGTAGACCGACAGAAGCATATACGTCAACAACAGGAGTGTATAAAACAAGTTGGGAACATTAGTTTCTTGTTGATACACCAGAGCTCTAGACTATCCTCTAAATAGGGGATCTTTAACTTTTGAAAAATTGTAAACAGATAAATCATACTTTGATTTAAAGTACACGAAAAATTAACGCATATGCTGTCTTATTTGTGTACAATTCAGTACACCACACACTGCACAGTGAATCCACAGAACAGCAATGCACAGATAGGTGAACCTATTTTAGAATGAACTCGCCTACATGTTTCTGACAAAAGGCGTCATTGTCATCAATTGGTACATGGCTTGGTTTATCAATTTTTTGTAAAATGTAAACAGTATATTGTCGAATGTTTTTGTATGGTTAACATCTTTTCCAGTGAACGGGGAAATGCCGTCTTGTACGACTATCTATAAAAACCAAACAGAGACTTAACTGCTTTCAAATGCATACAACCTTAAGAATGTTCCAACCTATTTTTAGCTATAACTCCTTACCTGAGGGCTCTGTAACACATGACGCGAAGATAGGTTAACTCATAACTGATTATTCGTTTGACGTAATGAAACAAAGTTAATGTCTCTGGTCGTCACACGTTTGATTAACATGTCGATAAAACAAATGAAGTATGAATACCTCTTACTTCAGATCTTGTCTTCGTTTTATCGTATTCAAGTTTGAACCAATATTATGTCGATATGTAAAGCACTGCAGGAACCCCTAACATTGGACCTACCAACCGCAGTCAGCAAATGAATCTGGTGAAGATGGATGTAATATCTGGAACAAAGTAATTAATGAGTCCCTTCTCTCATACCCCTAAATTCAAACAAAAGGCATACCCAACCCAAAAGCCATTTAATTGTCACTACATTTTAATCATTGAAAAACAGGTAAACCGTTACTAATGACGTATATGTATTAACGTTTGGAACCATGGCATTATCCTACTTCATTCAACAACATTATTTCATTCGTAACAAGCGCAAATATATGACCCTACTTCTCAATTTCTATCGCAGGTTTTCGTGGTAGGAATCGGATGAAGAAAAACACCAAATTTACAGTATAGATCAAAATAACTTTCATTTATACATCCAAATATTTACAACATTGAAAGCAATATCAAGCACATTAGATACGATACAAATTAAATTGAATATATAATTGTTTTGACAATGTAAATCACCAGGTATTGTTGATAAAACACAACATTTTGAACATAAACAATAAAAAGCATTCCATTGTTTGCTGTAACGGTTGTAGAAACCTTAAAACATATAAAAATGTAATCTCAAGTGACAATTTTGTATTTTAAAAATTCTAAGAATTCGTTTGAAAGATTTGTTATCGGTACACAAGTTGTCCGATTATACATGATAGAATGATCGGCTTTAAGGAAGAAACGAAAAAGAATTAAGGAGTAGTGACATTTGTATGATTTAAGTTATTAAATTAAAGAATAAAGCAGGATGCAACATTTTAAGGATGAAATCTTATCATAAATGATGATGATTCCCTTTTAAATGGTTTTTCTGTGCGTTATAGAAACTCTACTTAATACCAGCCTTTAAAATGGTAGCTATTTCTGCTACGTACATCTTAGACCGATGCAAGTATGATGTGACTGTTGTTGACAGTTTTAACATATGTCAGCAAGATCATTTTCCAGCTTATCCCAATTATTTATCCTTGAATTGTCTGTAGAAAAAAATCAATAAGACTAGGATTATTATGTGTAGAGAAATTTAAGGTTATCTGTATCAAGATCAAGTCTTCCTTTGACACCAAGACCTAAACTACATTAACTAATTTTCATGGCACACAAAAAGTTATATTAAAAAAAATCAAACAATGACAACAAAGTTGTTTCTAATACTGCGATGTTTCAACTTTCACCAAAGTAACACATATTGACTAAAATTATATTTCGCTAACTAATTGCAAGATTAAACAAAATGTATTCATCACGCGTGATATCAGACACAGTTTGAAAATATAGATTACAAAGCAAGTACAATATAACGTTATACCTCGAGATTCGTTTGATGTACATCAAAGGACCAAAATTATTTTTTTGTATTACCCTTTAGGTGTCGTACACGAAGTCTTCAATTTTACAATGAAATATCCCCGTGGTGCAGGCAGCGATCGTGAGCGTAACCCCTGGAGTATCGAGGATGCGGGAAGTCATTTTCCAAATATCGTAATATAAGGCAAGTCTATTTACCAAGCACACTAGAATAATTTAATTCTCCTCTGCCCCTAACAATAAATTCAATCAACCTAGCATTGTTATGATACTACCGGTACATACATCTTTCAGACACATTTGGATAAAGTTTTGATGAACGTGAATCAGGGTGCATTGTCATTAGAAGCAAATGATGATATTTTAGATGCACCACTTCGAACACGACAAAATCATTTATATAACTAGAAATTGTTGTTAACAATTTGGCGGGCTTTTCACTTCCAAAGATGAACTTTGAATCTTGAAACGTTAAGGAGATATAACTACATAATAACGAAGAAATACACTTTTTAAAGGTTCAAACATATTTGACCCCTGTGACCTTGAATGTCGGTCAAGGTTAATCATATTTGCAAGCCTTATAATGTAACATCTGATAATCAATATATCCCCAATATTAGTTCTCTAGACCTTGTGAAACTTGACAAGAAGATTGTTGAACACTGGTACCCTATTTTGTATATTTGAACCTTTGGGAAACCGGAAGTCGACATTTTGAGGGAAGTTTTCCTTATGACGATTACTAGGAAGTCTCCACAGAAGGTTTATAATCAATTTTCATCATTGTATGCCTTCTAGAAATTGAGAAAAAAAAATTTCAAATTTGTTAAATTTTGAAAACTTTACCCAACACCGAGCTTTTTTATTCGACATATTCTCTGATAACATGTCATAACAAAAATATAGATAAGGAAATTCTCTACAATTAATATAATTGCACATTCTCTGTATAATCAACGGTTTCGAGATATTGCCGTTTTAAAGTTTTTAACTTATGACGTCATGGCGGCCATATTGGATTTTTGACCTACTTAAAAAATCTGCATCGTCACCTTCCAGTATGTACCTATAACATAGTCAATACATATTAGGTGTGGTCTTTACCGTTTAAAAGATTACGAACCCACAAAGCTCGGAAGAAAAATAATAATAATAAGAAGAAGAAGAAACATAACAAAAACAATAGGTCTTTTCACTATTTGGTGAAAAGACCTAATGAAAGGACAATCATACTTGAAAAAAGAGTTATTATTATGCAAAAAAAAACATTAACCAATTGCTGGGACCTTTCCCCACTGAAAAAGTTGATCATCCAGTAATCCTCGTTCGGGTTGGCGACTTGGTAGTTACGCCCACACACCTGTAATTATTTTTAAAAATGTATTAGTAAAAATTGGTTTTGGTTTCACGAGAGATCTTTCATGCAAAATATAAGCGTAGGACATACATTCCACTTGAATTGGAACCATTGTAATTTAATTATACAAACACACACATATATACATGTGTATGTAAGTAATGAATAAACATATACTCACCACATTCATGAATCTTAGGATAGGGACGTCAATATCCGGCAGAGTTTGGTTTGTCCGGGTCGATAAAGGGTCAATTTCGTCACAATAGTTGGCGCACTGAGCAAACCGGTGACTAGCACCCACCAGCGACAGGCTTTCGATGAACCCCTGTTTAATATCCTTGAATTCTGTACTAGATTCGTCGACTTCGTCGAACTTTGTCAAGTTTCCAAAAACTGGGACTTCTGAGGGACATAAAAATACTGTTACATTTTCTCGGAGCACAAGCTTATTATACATAATAATGATAAAGTTGTCCAACTGGATTCTGGAGGGCAAGTCTCATAATGGATGCTTATAAATTACAGTCATCATAGTGATCTCATTGAGAAATATTGTGTTAACTTCGTGTTAGTTTGCTTGTTTTTGTATACCTTGTTCTCACTTGAGAGCGTGACATTTATTATCAAGATTGATCAATATTTACATGGCGGTTGTCGTCGATGAAGCAGAAAATGCTTACTCTTCCGGAACACCTGGTCGTATTCTAGCTTTTTTCATTAGTCTTCGTGTATTTTTTCTTTTGTATTTAGTTTGCCCTAGTGGGTTTTTTTTCATTATGTGTATGTTGACATTTTGCATTATGTTTTATGTTTTATCTCTAGTTTTATTGAAATTGAGTTTGAATTGAACAATGACAGAAACATCGAGCTAATTTTCTTGCTTTTTTGCAATGGTCTCCTTGTAAGTCTTTCATTTGGTAATGTGTTGCCCTCGATTTACCCAAATGCTTCGGAAATGCCATCTATAATAACGATATCTTCCGGTGAAGGAAGTGCAGAAATATTAGTTCAAGTCTTGCTTAGAAACGAGTACGCATATCCCAGGGTATAAAAAGATATAAAAGGGCATAAAAGGCCTGCATCCTGACAAACTGGTCATGATAAATTTCCATGACAGTGCAATGCTATAAACTATTCAAAGGAAAGTTAAGTGAACACACCATGAATCAAGGTAGTTTTATATTTGACGAAGTCCTTCTCTCCAAATAGCTTACCTCTTTTATACTGATCACCTTGCGATCGTGCAGCTTTCATTACAGACTGAATAAGATTTCTTGGTATAGGTTGGGTTGCCGAAGCAACCACGATGATGCGATCTACTTTATTGCTGGCTTCTGTGTACACTTTCCCATATTTTGACCGCAATCCTGTCACGCCGTTTTCCTTCCCGAATCGAAACACAGAATGTAAATTCTCATTATCTCGTAACTGGCCATAAAATATTAATCTGAGGATTTCCTCAGTAATCTCGGAATCTTCGTCTCCAAACCCAGATATGTCTGTCAGCGTTGGACAGGCATATCCCTGAAGTCGTTTTGATGTAACATAGTCAGCTGCCTTAAAACTGCAAATATAAAATGAGCCATTTTGTGTATATGGTTTCCGTTAAAAGTTTTAACTTTCAAAACTAAATGTTTTATTAAAACGCACTCTTAGCGATGTCGTCCTGGAATGGGACGTAATAATTGTTCCGGCTGCCCTATTTGGTGATCGTAAATGGTGAGTGTCTGTCCGATTGAAGAAGGTTATGTGTTGTAACAATGTCGTTGAAATATCATTTTGGGGATCATTTCTTGTCACTTATAATTGAATTAGATACACGATGACAAGTTAAGACAGCTCTCAGTGTGATAGTACAATAAAAGTGCCCCTTGTTAACCACAAACAGGTAGCAGATAAGATTTGTACCATTCCACGATTCGTAAGAAGCGACTGAATATGGTACGAGATATTTAATTTTACGAGACTTGTAAATATGGTATCTGATATTTCACCCTCAGATCCTACATAATGTACGAAATATAGTATCTGATACTTCATCTTAACATTAGCTAAGATTTGTTATTACGTTGAGAGTCGGTCGCCTTCGTAAGAAGGCTTTACGTTCTGTTATCTAGCATACCACAAAATAATGGTTACTATTTCTGTCCTATCGCTCAGAATTTCAATAGTACAAACCACTGGTTTACCCTTTGTCTGGATAATGAATGTGATCTGGTTTCGTGTCAGACTGGGCGTCTTCAGTGTGGTAGCACTATAAATTTGGTATTAGTTCCCATCTAAGGAGGCTTACCTGAACGCTTTGCAGTCCCCAGAAACCACAAGCGTTTGGGTCAAATACATAATGAAGATGTCCCAATATGACAGCAATTGTGAACAGAACATTTATCATTATAAACCCAGTCAAATACATCCATCCCTGGACGGACATAGTCTTTATAAGCCCTTAGCTATTGCGAGGTTGCAAGGCAAAGAAGAGCGTCAATAGACAAGCGGAAACCTTTTGATCCGGATCGTAGTTTGTCTGGACGTCCCTGTTCCACTGCCTTCCTGTCCGCTGATGGCATATTCCCGCCAATAATCATCTGCTATAGACGCTGCAATGGAATTGATGAACGACGACTTTCCACATCCCGGCATGCCGATGAACACGATGTTCAAGGGATGACGACCGTCTTCTGTTTTTCCCAAGACGTCCTTCAGTTTCGTTATCAGGGTGATTCGTTCATTAATTAGGTTTGACTCCATTGCAAATCTTCAAAGAAAATAACAAATATGGTTGTAAGATATCAAAGCGACTATAATGTTAAAAACACTACAAGAAAACGGTATAAAACTTTCTATTTTCCAACAGTATGTTACAAAACTTTCTGTTAATTGATAAAATCAAAAGTCATTGCAACAATTTTTTATTGGTATCTAAAAAATAAAGAATGTCAACAGTGCGGTCTTGATCTAATTCATACATTACCGCTCGTAACCCAGATGCTGCGCATGCGTATAAGCTTAGAAAGAAGCAATATGGCGGACGCAAATACGAAAAGGCGACGAGGACCTAAAAGTTACCTTACAGAAAGTGCCAGAAAGCGTAAGAGAAAGGAGTCGGACCAGAAAAGAGGACAGGCAAGAATTTATATTAGACATGAGATCGTTAGATGGCGAAAGGTGGAGGAGGATTTTGGACTGAATACGGATTCGGACTTTGCGAAGATGCTGCTTGACTGGTTAGCTTAACGTGAGACCTATAATTATAATGTATCCGCCTGTCATTGATTATAATCCAATATCCAGTGTTTGACGCATGAATATGTTATGATTAACACTAATTAAAGTGTTATCTGATAAATGTCGAATGAAAATAGTTGTGTTATTCGCTTGAATTTACTATCATTTGTTTGTTGTTGACTGCAAGGTGGGGTCCAATTGGGGGTATTCGTTCTGGATGTAAAAATATGACAGTACTAGTGTTTCTGTGAGAATAATGACCATGGTGATAAACATAACCTTCATAAAAAACACATAGATACATGATGAATGGTAAAAATATATATTAGTGTGTACAGACAAAGGATCATTTCCTGTGCGTTTCTGCACAATGAGTTTTTTTCTTTTCCGATTGTAATTACCCCCATTGGGGCCCCACTAGTATAACGCCGGCAGTTGACATAGACAATTCTCGCAATTACCAAGATTGATTGTTAAAAATTATATATCATAACATTATAAACATTGCAAAAAAGAATTAGCAGAAAGGCGTGGGCGTTTGTTTACACTTTTCTCGTAATCCATTTTTTCTTTGTGGCGGAAGTAAATGACTTCGTCACGTGACAAGCCATGTGACCCACTCGGCTTTCTTCGTATTAAACCGAGCGTGAACATGTTTATAAACAATATTCAAGATAAACAATGTTCCGACGCCGAAAATATGTACAAAAACAACAAATTTATTATGGATATATGTTATTACTCATAAGCCGAATTCTCCATTTTTGGATGTTGAAATCGAAGGTAATAACCGCTTTAAACATTGGAGCATCAGTGTAGGGTAAACAGCATTGGTTAACATATTAAATAATGTTTGTGTAAACAGATTTTACCTACTATATCACTACATCACGTGACATTACTGGTAAGTTCAGTTTTCATTTATGGTATTTATTTTCAGAAAAACAATGTTACTACCTATATTTTCATATATAAACTATAGTTACGTACCAAATATTACAATTTTGTTGATTATCAATATGACTAAAAACATTACATTTCAATACATAAATTCCTATACACCTTCGAATTATCAGAACAAGACGTAACTTTGTATGATGTTAATTTCCGATTTGATGAATCCAACAATTGATTCGCCCGTTGTTATCTGTCCTGATACTTTCAGCAATATACTATGTTTGGCAGCACTGTAAAGTCATTATCAAATTCTGCAACTTCGATACCCATAAGCAGTCACCACATGCATTCACCTCGCATAGATAGGGAGACTTTTCATAAGTGACAATATCTGCTAATGGGACATATAGTATATTCAAACTATATCTTTGTAGCACCGTGAGTGACAACCCATAAAATAGGATTTAAAAGGTCCATACGGCCTGTGGTACGACCCATTCAGTGTACCCTGTGGTTATAATACTTTTTCAGAGGCAAAACGAACACTGTCATACTCCTAGGGTAACGACACTAAATGGGTCGTAGCATAGGCCTTATTGACACTAAATGGGTCGTAGCATATGCCTTATTGACCTTTTGAACCCTTTAATCCTATTCCATGGGTAGTCACTCACAGTGCAATAAATATCACCAGTTTTATCTAATCTAGTGGGTGGGCAAAATTCAATTGTTCCTGAAAGAGATCCTTTGGTACTATAATCAGTATAGTGATATATAGTCCCTCAGCTGACGGGTTGCTGTGACTTGTATATAGTGTTAAATACGGTTTCTGTCACTCAACTGACTGGTCGGTGTGACTTGTATATAGTGTTAAATACGGTCTCTGTCACTCAACTGACGGGTCGGTGTGACTTGTATATAGTGTTAAATACGGTCTCTGTCACTCAGCTGACGGGTTGCTGTGACTTGTATATAGTGTTAAATACGGTCTCTGTCACTCAACTGACTGGTCGGTGTGACTTGTATATAGTGTTAAATACGGTCTCTGTCACTCAACTGACGGGTCGGTGTGACTTGTATATAGTGTTAAATACGGTCTCTGTCACTCAACTGACGGGTCGGTGTGACTTGTATATAGTGTTAAATACGGTCTCTGTCACTCAACTGACGGGTCGGTGTGACTTGTATATAGTGTTAAATACGGTCTCTGTCACTCAGCTGACGGGTCGATGTGAATTGTATATAGTGTTAAATACGGTTTCTGTCACTCAACTGACTGGTCGGTGTGACTTGTATATAGTGTTAAATACGGTCTCTGTCACTCAGCTGACGGGTCGATGTGACTTGTATATAGTGTTAAATACGGTCTCTGTCACTCAGCTGACGGGTCAGTGTCACTTATATGTAGTGTTAAATACGGTCTCTGTCACTCAGCTGATGGGTCGGTGTCACTTATATAGAGTGTTAAATACGGTGTCCGTCACTCAGCTGACGGGTCGGTGTCACTTGTATATAGTGTTAAATACGGTCTCCGTCACTCAACTGACGGGTCGGTGTCACTTGTATATAGTGTTAAATACGGTCTCTGTCACTCAGCTGACGGGTTGCTGTGACTTGTATATAGTGTTAAATACGGTCTCTGTCACTCAACTGACTGGTCGGTGTGACTTGTATATAGTGTTAAATACGGTCTCTGTCACTCAGCTGACGGGTCAGTGTCACTTATATGTAGTGTTAAATACGGTCTCTGTCACTCAGCTGATGGGTCGATGTCACTTATATAGAGTGTTAAATACGGTGTCCGTCACTCAGCTGACGGGTCGGTGTGACTTGTATATAGTGTTAAATACGGTCTCTGTCACTCAGCTGATGGGTCGGTGTCACTTATATAGAGTGTTAAATACGGTGTCCGTCACTCAGCTGACGGGTCGGTGTGACTTGTATATAGTGTTAAATACGGTCTCCGTCACTCAGCTGACGGGTCGGTGTGACTTGTATATAGTGTTAAATACGGTCTCCGTCACTCAACTGACGGGTCGGTGTCACTTGTATATAGTGTTAAATACGGTCTCTGTCACTCAGCTGACGGGTCAGTGTCACTTATATGTAGTGTTAAATACGGTCTCTGTCACTCAGCTGATGGGTCGATGTCACTTATATAGAGTGATAAATACGGTGTCCGTCACTCAGCTGACGGGTCGGTGTGACTTGTATATAGTGTTAAATACGGTCTCCGTCACTCAGCTGACGGGTCGGTGTCACTTGTATATAGTGTTAAATACGGTGTCCGTCACTCAACTGACGGGTCAGTGTGACTTGTATATAGTGTTAAATACGGTGTCTGTCATTCATCAGATCTCTGATCATTGTCGCGTCCTGGTTTCGATTGCTGTCTCGTGACACTGGACACGGACATATTTGCTCCTGTTATATAACATATAAACTATAGAAAGGTACTTTTACACGGAATGTCGACCTAGATCCCCTGTACTTCAAAAAGCACATCGGGATGGGTCCAAATATATCTGTGAACCACATGACCTATTTCATTGACTAACAACTGTTTTGTTACATAACAACGCGAGCGTACTCAGTCTTTAAAATTCCCCTTGAATCTATTTCTAATATCACTATCTATCCTTTCTTTGGTGGTCCTATTTTTCAGCTACTGCTGAATTCACCTTGATATTAACACGTATGCTGAAATTTTCTTCTTACCTTTCTGACAGTGACCATCCGGAAGTTGTAATGTTTTACTTTCGTTTCTGAGAAATGTAATTTAAAGAGTTATTTCCCTTATTACGTTATACAGTTTTGTTTATCAATGCAAACTATTGTATTCTCAGGGGGGGGGATAAAAGTAAACATTAAGAATTAGGAAGATTTCCTGACTTCAGTTTTGCATCAAATGTTAATGATGATACTGAAAATTCGAAAAATTTGTGAAAGTAGGATAGTAAGGACTATATTTTTGCTCGTCGACTGTTTGATTTCTTGTTTAAATTTTTAGCTACGTAATATAAAGGTTATCATACCATTATGATGGAAATGTTATATTCAAATTCCGTCTACATCACACCGTTTCGTAAATATAACATTGGTAACATCCTCATACTCGTAAATATGTTTAAACAGTTGTTTCAACTAGTGTTACATGAGGGCAATATCTAGGATTGATGAAACCTAATCCTAGCAACGTGGCATACATAACAACCCGAGCGTACTCAGTCTTTAAAATTCCCCTTGAATCTATTTCTAATATCACTATCTATCCTTTCTTTGGTGGTCCTGTTTTTCAGCTTCTGCTGAATTCACCTTGATATTAACACGTATGCTGAAATTTTCTTCTTACCTTTCTGACAGTGACCATCCGGTAGTTGTAATGTTTTACTTTCGTTTCTGAGAAATGTAATTTAAGAGTTATTTCCCTTATTACATTATATAGTTTTGTTTATCAATGCAAACTATTGAACAGGGGCTTTAAAAGCAAACATTAAGAATCAAGAAGATTTCCTGACTTCAATTTTGCATCAAATGTTAATGATGATACTGAAAATTCTCAATTTGTGAAAGTAGGATAGAAAGGTCCACATTTATAGCTCGTGGACTGATGGATTTCTTGTTTAAATG